GGGGGGGGGGGGGGGGTAGCATCAACGAGATTTTCAACCACTGATCTATATGTGCCACTGGCATGTGCCAAGAGCCTGCGGAGGAGGCAGTACATAGAGACAATTAATTTCATACCTGCGTTTCGTTGTTATAGCAACCATGACGACAGTAAGGACTGAAGTATTGCGAAGCACCACACGTAAACAATTTGTGAGACCTCCGCCACCGCAAGACTGGGACTAGTAAGTACATTGCCATGTCATGCACTGCCTATACAAGCGAAATACAAGACTTTAGAGACAATTGATGAGAAAAACAATATTATATTGTAAATACAAGTAAAACGATTGATGAATAAAACATGTAAATTACAAAAGAAAAATTGTGTTATGAGGCATGCTAAAGTGTGTTTTACATTGTCCATCAAAGTCTCATGCTTCAGTATTCTATTTCAGTAGGGTAGCCTCCTTCGCAGGCGACTATATTTGGCTTCCCAACAGTAGGGTAGCCTTCAGTAGGGTAGCCTTCGCAAGCGACTATATTTGGCTTCCCAACAGCGAAGTTCTTGGTACAAAAAAGCGGTGAATCTCGATCAAAAACTCAAAACAAACTTTTGGCCAAGCATGATGGGACAATAAATCATCCAGTTCCTGTGCCTTCACTACAGTTCCAACGCACTCGACAATAAATCAATAAATGTTGCGTTATTTCACTTTTAAATATATTTCGCCGTTTGGGAAGAGTTACCTGCGAATAAGACTAGGGTTGATTCAACTAATTTTTGTAAAAATTTGCATTTCTCACAGTCTGGGCTGAAATGTTTGGAACCCTTACGGTGGCGGAATCAAGATTACCAGGAATCATATTAATTATTTTCAGAGAAATATTTTCAGAGAAATGCTAGATAGCTTATCAGTGAATGCAAGATTAATATGAACCACGCATGAAAGACATATTTTCTAATGAAAATGATGAAAATGATAACACTTGTACATGTGAATTAATGCCAGCTCAACCCATGAGATTTACAAATATTGATAATTTTCCTGTTTGGCAAAAAATCAACAACCAAACCGGGCCTTTGACGTCAATGGGCAAGTGTTTTCGAGCAGTTTGTTGACAGTTGAAAGGGATTGTGATTGAACACTAGCAAACATTTGTCAACATGAATTAAGAACATCAAGAATAGTATTGTGCCAATGAAGAGTGGAATATTTTTAGAAAGCAAGCCAAGAAATGTTTCCCATTATTGCATTATATATTTTATCAGATTAACCCCTCCCTGTACGTAATCCCTCGTCGGCGCAATTCTTTCAAGGATTTCAAAATTCACGACATTTCTATAGTCCAAAATACATTCGCCGTCGATAAGGCAACCAATTGATCAGATTAACCACCCCCAGTAAATTTCGTAAAATTTATTTTTTGAAGAGGCGGTCAAGTCCGTTCGGCGGATGTGCAGTTTGTTTACATTTTGAAGACACAGAATGCACTTATGTGATATCTAATATCGTTCTGGTTCGCTATGCTTTTACATGAATATAGATCAGGGCACGATCAGGGGCAGGTTGTTCAAAGCTGGGTTAGCTTAACCCTAGGCTAACCTAAAACTCGAAGCAAACTTCCTGACAGCTAGCTTGTCTATAAATTTGGAAATATTTTTTCAGAGATCTTGTCTGGATCGATAGGAGTTTACTTCTCTGAGTCCTCTGAGGTTTTGAAATAAACAGTAAAACAGACGTGTAGAATACACAAACTAAAACAGCAGGTTAAATTTTAACCCAGGGTTTATAGCGCTAGTCCAGCTTTGAACAACCGACCCCAGAGTTTCAATTTAGAAGATGTCGAAACATCTCGAAATTTGGGCATTGTTCACACCAGAAAGTGGGTCCTCGCAGTCACATAGCACATGAGCAGAACCTGTCGCAGAACACTGACACATGACAGATAAAAAATTCTCTAATATGACTCGAAATGGATTGCCGTAAATTTTCCGGTGAAAGAAATTGCTCAATAGTTCTAACTATCTAGCTATCCCGGAAGAAAATGGCAGTAAATATAATCATGAAGTGTGTGTGTCAGTGTAGGTAATGCCAAGTGCCAACAATAACAAAATGTCGGGTGATAGAGATGCAACTACCTGGAAACTACAAGGAGAACTTTGCCGCTTCGAGCGAAGCGGAATACTTCCCTTTGTCGGGAAGTTAGTTTACTTATAAATATACAGATTAGGTAGCCAGGAATCGGGACTGATTGCCAAATTCACCATTAATTGTTTCAAAACGTTATATTTTGCCTCAAGAAGTATTCGGCAGTAAGGTTTCGGTGAATTTGTTGTTGGAATATTGATACCAATTTTAAATTGTTTTGTTAATTTTTGTTTGAAAACGGTGATCACTTGTCTTCTTCATTATTGCATGTGCTTAACTGCTGGTAAACGCCACGCCATTTTTAATGAAAAAGTTTTCATTTCAGTTTCGCTTTCTTAAAATGATAAGTCAATCTTTTCGAAAAATCGTGAGGTTTCAATTTTTTAAATCTGGACGTGAAAAGGTGAGGCCTCCCTATGAAATCAAGAGAGTTGGAGCTGCGAAGCAAGAACGAGTCTAATCAGACATTAGTCCTTATTTCTTAGATGACTCAAACAGAAAAAAGCGCAGGAACTCTACGTATAGTATTTCAATTAACATGAAGTAAAAACACAACTAACAGAAAGGACGACTATACAAATGTAACTGGAAACCACTTAACCCAGGTGGTGTTAATAAACTCTATTATCTTATCTGCTGGAACTGACGTATAAAACGTTGATACGTCCCCCTGTGCAATCTAAATATACCTAATGTGTTTCGTATGGTTCCGTCGTGATATTTTTTGTGTGTGTTGGTGTTATGTATTCAGGTGAATATAATGTTTGTGGTGTTACTCTGAGTGTACATCCACACCGTGCAACTGTGCCTGACCACGTTGGGAATCGAACTCGCGACCTTTGGGATACTAGTCCAATGCTCTGCCAACTGAGCTACGAGGTCAGGTCGGTTCGACTGCAATTTTAGTATAACCTTTGAAAGCCTTCGTACTACTGCAATTTTAGTATAACCTTTGAAAAAATCTCGCTAGCATCATGCATGAACACGACGCGGAATTATAAATTACACTGTGGAAAAATTGCTTTTCCATATGCTAGCGTGAGGCATTATGTACAACATGAAAACATTGAAACGCTTGTACATCACAATGTGACATGATTTGTTGACATTTAGTAACACCACATACCGTGTCTGACGTCAATAGCCGCGTTGGGGGAAACAGAAATATCCGGGATGCACGCTATCTTAGTTAATGTAAGATACAGTTGTTGTTTCAATCATTTAATTTATTATTGCAAAATATGTAGACACTGGGACTTAACAGCTTGCTTGTGATCAAGTCGAAAATGTGAACTTTCTCGCATTTTATGCAGTGCATGGCGTGTTGTATGCAACTGTCCGCATTTTTTATTGTAGAGATATGGACACCCCTGAACGGAAATGAAATGCAACATTAGAAAAAAACATTGCATGAACAGGTACTGCAAATTTCAGACTTTATTCCAGGAACTGCACCTTATATAGGACGGAGGCGACTTGAAACTATGTTATTGTGCTATTTTCTAGTAATTTGTTTCATACTCTCATCTGAATCGTGTTAATTAAAGCAAGATAACCCACTGAAAGACGTCATCAAAAACAATGAGACTATGATCTATGTTTAATAAAGGCAGCATGTTACATTATATATCAAAACATCGTGTTTTGAAATCATTGAAATACTTAATTAATATCAATATCTAATCATTGCAGTCTCTCCAAATCTTAGCTAGTATTAACTGAGGAAATAAGCTAAAATTAAAATGGAATGAAAAATATAGATATTGTGAACTCATTTCCTGCTAGGGTAATTAATTGTTAGACTATCGGCGCCTTGTTTGTGTGCGCAGTAAATACCGCCGAAAGCAAGGATATTCTACATCACGTACAAACATGAAAGACTATATAATCAGGAACAATTCCAGTACTGCAATGCCCATACATTGTATATTCCAGATTTTAAATAAAAAAACATGTATTAACAGGTCTGGTAATATTTTGGACAGTATGAACTGAATTTTGTGGTTCTGCGGTTTCTGGATTGTTATGATGATGATGCGTGGGCTGTAAGGAAATGAGTGTCAAGAACATGCCATGGGAGTTACAAAAATAACACCAACACACATACAATATGGTTACAAAGCAACTAAACCAAAACATATTATGAAAAATAAAACGACTTTTGAGTTGCATGCCCTTTTTGGAGTATAGTATACTGTTACAATGAAATGACTGTAGCAATTACTGTAGGTATTGCAACTTTTGCTGATAAACTCCCTTCCTGAGAGCACTTAACATTGTATTTAATTTTTACCAGGGTAAGTTAACATTCTTAAAAATAGGCTACTCCTTTTTCATGTGGTTTGGTCCGGATCTCAAAACGGATGGAGAAAACATGGAAACATTACTCTATTCCATTATGTAGCAAATATGCAATGAAAATGTAACAAATTCCGAATAGAATAGAATTTATAATAGAGAAAAGAAAATATGTGAAAACTTAATTATCAAGTTGACACCTGTGTGCAGTTTTGTTAAAAGTTGAAAAAATAATGAAGCTAATGCCTTGCAGGCATTGTATAATTGATCATTACCAATCAATTACTGGTATTCTCTAATAAAAACATCTTATTTTCATGTAGGATTTCAGTTCTATAGTATCACAAAACTCAAAGGCTTTTCTTTCCGTCTTTGTACCAAATTTATGTATACTTATATTGTGCTATAACTTTCAAGTAACCAGATCGTAATTGCCACTAGCGGAGCGTAAAATGACGGATGTGCCCCATTGTGGGTATTGTTTCATGGGTATAATCGATACACGAATATACGACCGTTCATAACTGTAAAAACACTGCTTAGTATTTCTATATAGAATATTATTTGAACATTCAATCACTGTATGCAATAAATGTATCGGCAATACACTATCAGCTTTAATACTAAGATTTTTTCGTTTTAAGGTAAATTTTTAAAAATCATTCTAAAACCAGAAGCCGGAATACTGTAATAATACTGGATAATTGTGAATATTAAATATTGTTCATTGAATATTGAATTGAGTCATATTGAATACTTACAGAATACATAATAAAGTGTCGCTAATTACTTTGTTTGTGCAGTTATTCGAACTGAGAATACTTTGTATATTGCTGTCAAGCAGTTTGTCGAGGTTTTAATCTAAACTCGCCAGGGTAATCTTTACGAGCAGAATGAAAACTGTAGTCTGTAGTCTTAACAGAGCATTATATCCCTCCCGTCATCCTTACCGACCTTACCGAAGCTAACAGTCGGTTTACCGCCTGATCTCAACCTTATTTTAACGAAGACCTCAGTAACCTAAATATTAAGTGGAAGCTCTTCTTTTAGACCTCTCAAATATACTTTGCTGTGTCCCTCCAGAAATAGCTTAGAGATTGTATACAAAACTATGATTTGAGCTGAGCTAGCTTACGTATATATGAATTTGATAAAAAAAAGATATAAAAAAAAAGATTAATGACTATAACGTTCCGACAAAGTGATTTATACACAAACTGTCACAAAGAAAAACAAATTTTATGTTATTTCAACAAAGTCAAAGACTATAAAGAACATTTTCAGTTATCACTTGAGAATGTGTTAAAAGATCTTTTTGGAACCCGTCGAACTGGTACAGAACAATTGTACTTTCCGGCACAGGTGTATACACCCACCCTCATTGGCACAGGTGTATACACCCACCCTCATGATATTCGACTCCTGTCTGTTCCTTGGAGAAGTCAACCAATAGTTCAGCCTTCCGATGCTAATATATTTATAAATGTATTTTGATTCAGGAAATGTTTGAGAGTGCAAAAGTAGAGCAAATATATAGCATAGTTGAATTACCACAAAATCTTTACTGCTGGCGTTTCGCCTTAAACTGACTTTGATAAATGATAATCCCACTTAGCTCTTAGGGTGAGACTGACGTGATAATGCAGAGGCAAGGCAATGAATCTTTACTATACTTTCTCTAATTGAACACTCTCCCACATACATTTCCAATATATTTATATAAACTTCAAATGTGAGCAACCAACAATGAATGTATCTTATCATATAAACTATCCATGTTTTGTCCTGGGTTAGTTATCAGTGCTGTCAACACAAAGAAAAGAAAATAATTAAGAACATTAGCGTTTCCGCCATTGAGATCACACACCAATCCTAATTTGCATCTTTTTTATCAAAACAACACTGTTTTCAGCTACAACAATACCTACCATCCATATAACCAATAAACGTTAAATAGTTTCTTTGGTTTATTCGATAACAACATGTGGAACACATTTCAAAACACATATCGATTGCAAATATCTTACATTACGAAATGCCACCATAGCCTCATACGGATTTTTGGCATACAAAAAAACTTGCGCTCTCCATCCAAAGTATTAACTTTAAGCATTAGCACTTGATCGAAGTTACTTCATGGCCCTTCATAAGATTCTCCCGGACATCATATACGAATTAGAGATTTGTATCATTCTATTATCTTTGAATTCTCAAGTTTCAAAGTAATTTATCAGTGCATATCAAAACGAATCAGAATGATTTACGATTCCTACCTATTACGCGCGATTTGACTTATCGATTGATAAATATGTTTCAGTTTAGGGCATATATTATATATACATCTGCAACTTTCAGCGCATTTTTCACAAAATTGACAGCACAATTTGGCAAGTGGAACGCGAGCGCATGAAATGTACAAAAAACAAGTTAAACACAACCGAATTCCCCTTTAATAAAACAAAAACCAAGAATAACTTTTGAGAATAGTTTTATTTCAAAACATTTCTAATTGTATTCATCACATCTCGCAATCTCAAATTACAATATCAATATTTACTCTGCAGTCATAACAAAATGCTAAATGCTGCATTATTAAATAGATAACTTAGAATACTAAAGATCGTCAATATTAAAATTATACTTTGACTAACATTTATAACAGTTCATTTCATTTAACTGTTCACGTACGCAATCTTCACATCTGTTTCACATTGTACGAGCGAGAATGTTCATAATTGTGATGGTGTTGATGTTGTAAATCATTCTGCGGTTTGGGTTGCAACCAACGCGAACACATGGGTGACAGGGTTGTCTCCCCAATATTGTTCATTTGTATGTTTTTCCTGCACTCTTAGGTTGAGGCATACTTTACAACTTGGCATAGGTTTTCAGCGATTTCATTTTGGTAAAGCCTTCTAGGATGTTTGCTAGAAAATTCCGTTGTGGACAAGGAACTACAAGGTGTCTCAGTGACCCTCACACACTGGCTTTCTCTCCAGCAGAACGACGACTTCTGCGACGCTCTCTGCGTGGACTATCTTGTCCTCTGCTCGGACTCGAAGCTTTGTGTCTGCGTCTTCGCGAATCTTGCGCCATTATCCCTGCGCTGATCGCTCGTTCGAGATGAATGCATGTCAATGAAAGATCAAGCGTACTCGCCAATCTAACATCGTCATTTTCAAGTTCACAGTTCTCCGCTCTTTCCTCAATGTCTTCAAGTCTGGGCACATATTTACTGCGGCGAAATATCTTCGTTATTGCCTTTTTCTTGCGGTACGGCTCTGCGCCGTTGATATACATTGAAAGTACTTCAGCCTCTGAGGCTGTCTTGGTGAACAGCGAATGAACATCCGCATGTAAATCCATGTAGTTTCCACCAAATTCACGTTCCAGCATCGTCATAGGTGCATCGTTTAAAACACGCAGTCTGCACATCTTAGTATGGAAAAAAACTGAGCTTTGTTGCTCCTGGTTGAATAAGATAAGTTCCTTACAATTCTCCTCACTGTTTAATGTTTATATCACCTTGCTATATACTTGACTGATCAAAGGCACACTGCACTCGCGTATTTATCACTTCAGTACCCTACCGCTATGACGTCAATGGCTTAGTGATACTCTTATCTGATTGGCTAATATGGCTTATTAGATAAACCTCGATCAATAAATGTCACACGAACGCCCTAGAAGACCGCCACACGAAATGTTTATCAATAAATTCAACTATGCCGTAAAGGGCTCACCGGTACCTTCGTAACTTACTCCGTAATAGGGCAAAGTTTAGATTTTTAGTTTACAATATATCGCGCGTTATAGCAACCCAAGTAATGCGTGTTTGGAACTGGCATTTACACTACAACAATAAATATATTTGTATTGTGCTACTATGCGAACTACAATAAAAGGAAAAAATAATTAAAATGTTTGAATAGGGTCGTTTCAAAATTGGCGGTGCATACAATAATAAACACGGCAGCTCATGACGTTGCTGCCAAGCCAAACATGCTATCAAAAACTGATTTATTAAAACATTGATTGGGTGTATAATGATAGTGTAAAATTGGCAAAGTGAAATTCAGTATTCGTGAAAGGTATACTGCATGCTTACTTGGCTAGTGCAGTCACAATGTTTCATTTGCTTCGTGCATGTCAACTATAGCAAGACATTATTCATTATTTTGACTAAGATTCCAGTTTTAAAGCGAATGATTGGGGTCATTGGGGGAGGGCTGACAAATTTAGGATCGGCGCCATACATCCTTATGTAGGTTGGCAAATTTCCTTAATTTATACCCTATACCAATGCTTTCACGGCTGTAAAATTATTGTTACAGCTCAATTGTACAATTGTTCAGCTATAATTCAAAGGCATTCAAAATTGTGCGTGTGTGTGTGTGTGTGTGTGTGTGTGTGTGTGTGTGTGTGTGTGTGTGTGTGCGTGTGTGTGTGTGTGTGTGGAGACGAATCCTATTTGGAAACAGTATCGGTAATGTCAAATGTCCATGATTGTCAATTGATCATTTTCATGCTATTATATGGTTATAGTATATACATTGCATTTAGTCATGCAAATATTATTTCCATAGACAGAGAATGGATTTTTTTAATGACATAGAGTGATGAGATGCAGTAATGCAGTAAGTAAGTCTCAAAGTTGAAGGATTTTTTGTAGATGGAAATTTCGAGCCGAAGGTTATATTCAATTTTGGATGTTACCAGGAGCAGTTGCGAAAAATGCAACTAGTCCTTCTGGCAGGAATCGAATCTGTGGCCCTGTGATTCCAGTGCAGCGCTCTGACCAACTGAGCTACAGACTAGAGTCCAACGAGATACCCCAAAATCTCTATATTTACCCAGTAATATATTATTTTACTTCACTTTACCCTTTAAAATGCTTTATACTGTATATCATTTTCAATCTTCCAAAAATACCATAAGATTTCAAGGTTTCTAGAAAAGAACAAGGGAGACTAAAATTAATCTTTGATGATCAATCTACTCTTTGGAAGTGGTATTGAACTTATTAAAACGGGAAACGCGTCGAGTGTCCAATTTATTAACATGGGAAGACTTGGCGTTTTATAAAAATAGTTTTATATCTCGAATTGTGCTATATCACTGATCATGCACACATGTGCTCCAGATCGCTGTGACATGCTAAGACTGGGTGATTCGTGCGATTATAAGTAGATTAATTTTTTTTATAAAAAGTCTGATTTCCTGTACATGATTAGATCTGTACATATGTGTTCTGATTCTCAAATATCGTGCTATAGTGTACGGCAAGTCTAGGTTATTATTTGCAGTTTTTCAAGTACTTCCAGTCAATTCTACGCCCGCAGCAGGTTTTTAAGGAACTCTGGTTTCCTCTTTTGGACAAGTACGGGCTGACTCTAAGGGTAACACTTTAGAACTGGTAGAACTATCCAGTTTAGTGTAGGTTTTCTCTATGTAGTGGAGACATTGGACCAATAAGAGATGACCCTCTGGAGATGACCTTACTGGACCTCTAGGATTAGCAGTTGGACGGTTGGTGGCAGTATAGATTATTAAGTAGCTCATATTCTTAATCTGTTGCTGCGGTGTCAAGGATATAGATCTGCTTGAAAAACAAAAGCAAATTCTAGACGTTTCAAGCGTCGGAGGCACAGTTCAGCCAATCAGCCTCTTGAATGATGGGTTTTAAGGCGCATTTCAGCCCTTTTAATTGAAAAAACTAACTAGGAAAACAATTAAGCATAATTCAAAATCAGCAAACGTAATGTTTTTAACATTTTAAAACATTTTTATTGTTAAAAACATTGAGTTTTACTTTATTGATCTTGAATTATGCATAATTGATTTTCCTAGTTAGTTTTTCAATCAAAAGGGCTGATATGCGCCTTAAAAACCATCAATCAAAAGGCTGAACTGGGCCTTTAAGTAGTCAGTTGAAAATTCACTTGCCCGGTGGAGATATTATTTATTCCCAAATTTCTATAAATTCAGATCTAGATCTGTTCGTATGAACCTATTTATTTTTTAATATGGTACGATACAAGTACAAGAATAGCCGCAGAATCACACAGTGCTTGCCAACGTGGTAATCGCCATGGTTGATTGATACTTGAGTAGCGAAATTTGTGTAACCAATAAATGAACAATAATGAAGTGAGGATCATATTTGTTATTGTCAGATTACGAAGGATATATTTCTAGCAGACTAGCACCCACACACCCATACTCGAGTTTGTAACATGATATGGTGTGAATAGATTTGAAGACGTTTCTCACACGCACCTCGGAATAAACATGTCAATCTTTACCAGGAGAGCAGAACAAATAGTGTATTCTCGAGAATATTTTGAACAATAAAGTTTACATCGTTAATTCCGTTGCATGTGGCGTGTTTCCTTCCGTGAAGATTAAAATATTACATGGTCAGAATATTTTTATTTACTTTTTGATAGCCTTGACCCTTTACTACACCCCACAGTAGTTTTCATTTGAGAGGCTTGAAAGTTTGGCAGTAAATTTGTATATGCTAACATGCATATAAATTCAGCAATCTGGAATGCGAAGACGCAATTACCCAAGCTTGCCTTGTTTTTCTGGCAATTTGATAAAAAATTTCTGTGGGAGGTCAAATATTTTACACTCTGTAAAAAAAATGCATTTTAATAGTCTTTGTATTCGATAAGAGCTTTCTTTTGTGTTATGTTGTTATTGCCAAAATTGGAGAGACAATGAGTCAGAGCAATTAGATACGAAATTATTTTACTGCTTAAAGGTTGTCCATGGAGAGCTCGCCCTACAAATACAATACATTTATTTATTACAACTTTATACTATGTTGTACATATTAGTACATGGAGAAAAACCATGGCAAATAATATTTATACTCAGTATTGATATTGCTTATAATTCTAGTTGTGGTGAGATGTTTTGGTTATTGAACACTTATCTTACACAATATATATACACTCATACAATATACGCTTATCTCCATATCACAATTATTTGAAGAACATTCATTTCATTAGGAATTTAAGATATGAAATTTACGTCGATTTGTGCTTGACTTTCATGTCATCTTGACTATATAGATTAAGTTATATTTGCAGGAAATTTAAGGCAAAAAAACTGTTAAAGAACTAAGATTTGCAGCTACAAAAGGTGGGCATATCGGTTGGCAACATAAGTTCCCCCTCCCCCTACTGCCAAAATGTCCGCCAAATACTTTGCTTATAAGTTTCATAACTAGAATCAAGCCTGATATTTTGTTTTAAATAGTGTGAATATTTAGTTAGCTTTCACTGAGAATTACTCTTGGCTTTTCTTTTTTGTTTTAAGTTAACCATGATTGGTTGCGATGATCTTGGTGATTTATATAACTTATTCCGCGTTATTTAAAGTCACCTTTTACCACTGTCTTAAAACTTCGAGGAATTAACACCACGCCATTTGGGCGTGAATGTTTCATCTAGATTATAGTTTTAATATTTCCTTTTGGCAATAACGTCAAATGTTTCCCCCAGGTCATCGTAAACAACCGCTTTTGGCGTATTTTGAATATCACCCGGCCGGTGGCGTCAGCGTGTGACGTCAGAGAAGTGTTGAGGTCGTAAAGTAAGTATTAGTTAGTTTACTGATGGCCAAGTATGGGCAAGTATTGTAGCGTCAAATGTTAATAAATATTTGAGTTGTGGTTTGAGGAATGAGGAAAATAGTTTATTAGGCTTGCCTGGGTTTTAATGGATGATATCGCGTCTATTTCAAATGATGACCAATGGCAATGTTGTTTTTGGACTGATCGGCGATGCTTATGATGATTAAGCACGCCGCGGCGCGCTTATAGTTATCAAAGCCACATTAAATTGTAGAAACTCTATTCCCATGGTTGTTTTCATTTCAAGTACTTGTCTTCTTGGCCACAAGTATTCATCGCAATAGTGCGTAAAATGTTTCTATAAAAAGCTTTAGATTTGAGTAGCAGTATAAGATTAAAGAATGAAGGATTTTGTAGATGGAATTTTGTACAGTTTCTGGTTTGCCACTTTGCTCTTAACAAATGTAAGTGTAAAATTTATACTCAAAATTTCCATCTACAAATTTCCGCGCCATGTATCGTCAATGCCTGCTTTAATTTCGTCAATGCCTGCTTTCTGATGTTTGCGACAGGAGAAAAATAAAAGAAATGTTTTAATGAAATTCTCATACAGCGTGCTTTAGTTTATCCACGTATTTGTATTACATCAGAAATTTGCATATTAAAACCATCCGCAAATAAACGTCATCACAACATTGTATTGTTTAGATGACAGTGCAAATACAAGCGCTAATGTTATTATGACAGTTTGAAGTCAACTTCTAGAATATCCCAGCGAACACTGAATTATAATAACCCTGACAACTTTACTCTTAGCATGTTGATAATCCTAAGACTGAAAATAAATTATTAAACTTCTTTGATCCATTGTCGAGTATAGTCATATAGAGCGAGCCTTAAGTTCAGTGACAAATACTTTGCAAAATATTTTTTTTGGGGGGGGGGTGTAGCTGGAATTTCATGCAACATATATATAGCCTAATTTATAGCCTACTAATGTTTCCATGAATTTATAGAAATGTTCATATCATTATATTTATACGAATTATATTCCATAAAAATTCATGAATAAACATTATTGTGAATATTATTTTAATAAATCCTGTCTTTGTTCACAAATTATATAAACAACAGTCAAGTATGAAAACACTGTGTTGTTTTTGTCAAACTTTGAGTTATTTTTATCTGTGATATGTATTCAGTATTATTCATGTGCTTTGCTCTGGAATAAAACTAATCTCTGAGCTAGCATCACTAATCTCATTAATCCTTTCATAGCTCAAAACAGTTTGACAAGTTGAGCTTGGTTCACTTGCTGAGTGAAAATGATTGAATTCCTAGTCATTGAGGTCTGCAGTTGTTTATTTATGAACCAAGGACTTGATCTTATTGAATATCCTAAGAAGACTAAGAACTAAAACTTTTTGCAATAACTTTGATTCTATACTTTGATCTCTGACTAATTAGGATTTAAGTTCAAAATACATGTGCTTTTATACTATAGTGATTATAAAAGCACATGCATTTTCTCGATCATGAGATCCATGCTACTAACATCCCGACAAAAGGCCTTTGTTGAAAACATTGTTTAATATATATATTGCACATATATAGTTCATCTTCATTATATGTAAACTTTATATTAGTACTGGTCAATGGTACAAAAACATTAAACTAAGGGTCTAAATCAGAAAGCCTGTTTAAGGTCTCTATAACCTCCTAGCTAAAAAAAATACTTGTTTTATTCAGGGGGGGGGGCACATATTCATATATTCGTGTTCTGCTTTATTAATTTCTCAGTTTGAAATCAATTGTTTTTATGGTATGTGAACACAAATATATGAATATCCCAATTATCATTCTGGCTACGGCACTGGTTTTATATTACAAATTATTTGACATGGATGAATTTTTAAATAAATTTTTAAAAATTAGGCCTTTTGAAAGATATTATCAAACATTTCAAGACAATAGTTTGGCAAGGGTATGAAACATTGGCACAAACATGACAACTGGTGTAGGACCGTTTTTCCAAAACGTCAAATATTGGCAGTGCTTACCAAAATTTTCATGATTTGTGAATTGTTTATACAGCAACTAGTAGTATATGATGGTAAGATGGTTGGACAATGGTGCATTCTCTAATAACCTAAAAAACTTGGCATGCATAGATCATCAGTATAAAATGATAGCAAAAATGATCATATATACCTTAAAACCTACTATAAAATATAAAAAACTTATTATTGTTATTATTGGTAGTACAGCAACACTAAAGACAAAATACATTGACAATAGAACTTGTGGAAGTGTATTGTAACACTTTTTTATCATTACCATCCAATGGAAAACACCCCAGTAGAAATAAAATAAATAATCAAAATTCAAAATATTTTGTTGCATTGCTATATCCAGGTGAGATTATTTCATTAATATTAAAATAAAATGATTCGCCATATAAAAAGCATTGCTTTTAAACGTTTTCAAATTAATAGAACTATCCTACTAAACTGTTATTCTATAAAACAATTCAAGCAATAAGAGTTTAGTGAGTTTGAAAGATACAAAAATACCTCGTTTTTATATATTAATAAAAGAACTAAGAACACTTTTGTAATTTTAAAACTAAACAGCACAACTTAAAACAATAAAACATAACACAAACATTTACACTTAAAGCTAGTGATTTCTTAGTTATTTTATTACATTGACAAAATACTTACCAGAAATGAAGCGAAATAAAATACTTTCTCAGACCAAGAAACAACCTCGTTCCCAGGGTCTCTCCGTCTGTCATCTGGGAGAGACCCTGGCTGCGGCTGGTCACGTGCCTCCCAGATTCTGGGAGGTAAATTTAATTGTAACTGTGAGAGGGGTGGGAAAGGAGAGTGTTTGTAGCGTTTTAAAATTGCAACTTTGGGTGATGAAATTTACTGTAAATTTGCAACAAGAAATCGTAATTATAAAGAGAACTCTTTGAATTAATATTTATGTCGTGACGTTCTACTCTATAATCTGGTGTCGAGTTACAATTCAAGCAAGTTGGATCAGATTTCATTATAGACTTGCCAAAGAAAGCACGCTTGTGCAGCGTGGCAATATTAAACTGTGATTAAACCTACAAGAAAATATATATCTCTAGACCGAACAGTGTGGTTGTTATTTATTTAGTATTAAAGTTTATCCTGATACTCGGACCAAAAGAATTTATTTATTGATGAGATGTGGAATTGCAACGAAATAGCGAGATCTTTTGATTTCCGAAATATCGCCAACTGTATCCAGATTGTTGATCTATATAAAGGCCTTATCAAAAAACTTAAAGCCCGTCAAAAGACTATAAAATTGGCCCTTGGCATTGCTGAATCCAACGATCATGGTATATGTCAAAGTATAGCTGTCTGTTGAAAATCTACGGTATTAAAATCATACACCAAAGATAAGTCAAACGGCAAATTATATGTCACTGTATTATACATGTCTTTCAATGAGCACTGTTTAGTAGTGTTCACCACCTTTATAAATTTTGTAAACAGCTTTCGTTTTGACATGAATAAGCTTTAATTTTTTGCTTTATATGCATTCTTAATATATACAAGTGAGATTTAAATTTTTGCTTTGTGAAATAGAATACCGTTATTTTTTAATGGACAGCTTGCATCGTCTATATCATATCCAGGATTGCTTGTGTGTAAACGCATTATTCACTATATGACATTGACACTATCAAATAAATATAAGTAGCAAATGATTAATGAATTAGAGATAAACAGGTGATTCACAATGAATACTTTAAAAATGTTAGTAGAAGTAGAAAACTCGAAAATTTATGTCTATTCGTATGACGCCAAATGACGGTCTGTGCGCATCTGACACTGTAAATTTGTGATATAGATTATAGTATATTAGCACAATATAATGATTAATAGAGACCAAGAAAAAGGCTAAAGGCTTACTATAATTACCGAATACGAATTTATGTAGTAAATCCAGATAAATCAATGACTGAAATTTCCTCTATGCTTATGGACATTTCTCTGTTCGGCTATTATCAAATGTTTACATTTGCTAATATTTGGGCCAGTCCTAGACAATACTGTTTCTTTTAAAAATCTTATAAACAAGACGCGTAGTAACAAGTGAATCGGTGCAAAGCGTATCAACGTTTACAAGAAAGGACAAATGTAATGGCCTATTTTAAAAACATTACAACAAACGTTTGTTATAACCGCGCTCGAGTGTGAAGAGAGCATGCATTGAATAACAACACGAGAGAGCACTGCGAGTAACGATTTGCTTGGTTTCTTGACTTGACTGTAAGTAAGAATGTAACAATGTTCATGTAAATTCAAAGCAAAGAAAATAAACAAAAATTAGCAAGTATTTTGAACGTAATAATTCGCAAAATCTATGTTTTTAACGAATATCCCACTGGAAGCATGTTGATGTAATTTGATACTTTCCCCACACCCCCTCAGGCGCTAAATTTTTGATGAGGCACGTGACCAGCCGCAGCCAGGGTCTTTCCCAATGAAAGATCCTGGGTACGAGGTTGACCAAGAAATTGCAAGAATCCAAGAAAGCTTTTTCTTCGGCCATCTTGAAATTTAAACTTTGGCAGCATGTCGCAATCGTGCATTCTGATTGGTTGCGCACATATATTTCTGATCTAATAATTTTATGACTGGATAGCTTATCGCCAATCTCCACTGGACTAAATTGGACTATTATTCAGCTTCATTATACATTATAATTAACAATTTTATTCATATTATTTAACCAATAATGCAATTTAGTACCTTGTACGTTTGAATAACTTACACAGGCTATAAATTATATACAACAATACAGCAATACATATAACATATCTACACTACAATATTAACATTAAAGATCTTATCCATTTTGTTCAACTTCTTTTCCATAGTTTGCGCGTGGTTTATTAACACGCCCCAGCCCCATGCCCCTGATTTCTGCCCGTCACATACATAGATATCTTATATACACTAGATAGCACATCTCTTTTAGTAAAATTGAAGCCAAGAATATTCCAGTGGTTAATACCTCCATTTGAAAAGATGGCGGCCATGTTGGTCGTTCCCACTTGCTAATAAACGCTTAAAAATAACAATAACTTTCATCATTTGAATAGTTTAAAAACGTATTTGGCATAGGGTTAACTTCATGTTTAAGTTCCGTGTTAGTTAAGAAATAAAAAATATACGAATCTTCTCATTTCATGGGAACGACCTGAGACTGCAATCACGGCTTCAATTCAGTTTTGAATTGCAGAATAATTAGATGCACTATCTAGGGTATATAAGATATCTCTGGTCACATATAGGTGAGAATGTCTTCATTTGTATTACGTCAGGGAAACATTTGGTGCTTCAGAGAAAACGATGATCGACATAAGCAGAAACGAGAAAAGGAAAATAAGGAAGAAGACACGATCAAGAGCTTTGCTTGCTATTTTCCATTCTGACCTGATTTCCTTGTTTTCTTTTTGAGTTTTGATTTTTTGTTGTCGCACCACATCTTCAACACTTTTTCCAGTGTTGTCGTTTTTAATCGAGTTCACTTTTAAAGCGTCCACTGCTCGCTGGTTAGTCTCGTTTGAAGCTGGGGGGAAGACATTTCCTTCTTGGTTTTGTTTGGGTTCGGGTTTAGGAATCCTCTCCAAATTATTGCTCACGACGAAAGCTTCATTTACACGGAGACCTATTGCGTTTGTTCGGATCGGTGGTTTTTGTAAAACGCACAAGAATCGCGCTATGATATTTATGAGAATTTCTCGCAACCATCCCGACATGCGTGTGTCTTGCTCGGAGCAGTTTAAGGTGATACAAACAGCAACTAGTGTTAACGCGATAAGAACCATAGTTGATATATAAAACTTTCCAATCAGGGGGACAACCTCCGAGGTAGGGGGCATAGTCTCCGATACAATCAACATGTAGACAGTTAGAGACAACAGTACAGTTACTACCAAAGAAATGCGTTCACCGTTGCTGGAGGGGAGAAAAAATGAGAGAGATGCGAGAAGGGCTATCACTCCACAAGGAATGACCAAATTAAAGAGATAAAAGAGCGCGCGACGTCTTATGCGTATATTAACTGTTATGCTGGGGTAAGGCTCATCACAGCAAGGGTATATTTTCACAAATCGGGTGAAATATGCTTCAATAAGATCCCATTCCGTATTCTTGACAAAATTGGTGATGTCAGCGTGGCCAGACTGGAGGTCCACTTTAAAACCATGGTACGTCCAGGAGCCGAAAGTGACGCGGCAGATTTGTTCATCAAAAGGAAAATATTTCACATTGATTTTGCATTCGGTTTTCACGTGAACCGGAGCTAGCCAGGAGATTTGGCCATCGTGCTTCAATACTATTTGTGTGTCTAGCCTTTGGTAGAGAATGCCATAGTTTGATGCTCTGCAATAGAGGTAAACGTGATTGAAGTTTCAGTCGTACTAGAATTTCATTGCTTCGAAAAGAAAGGATGAAGGAATACAAGATCAAGACAACGGGCGAGAAGGTAATTCAAGATAGAGAGGAATCAACCAATCAATAGATGCCACGTGTTACTTACGTATTGTAAATACTCATGTCTGGTACCCAGACCTCTTTCTTGGTCAGGTGCAATTCTTCTACTCCATCATACTCTGAAGCATTCCAACTCAGGATATTATCTTTCCAGAATTGTCGAAACCAAATACTCGTAATCATTATTTGATTCTTCTCATCCTAAATTAAATGAATAAAGAGCTTTTTGAACTACCTTTATTTTATGCTGGACGGCTCTATCTGTTCTAAACTTTTCTCCCTAGAGGTCCAGTAATGATATCATCTCTTACTAATCCAGTGTTACTACTGAGGAGGAAAGCAAACTAAACTAACTTTATTTATACTGGATACTAGCTCTATCTGTTATGAACAGTTCTCCCCATTTTCAAAAAGGCCGCCCAGTATTGCAATTGGTGCAGTGTTAGTCTAGAAAGAAATTATTTACTTACAACATCGAGTATCTGCCGTAGCGTAAGGCTGATTTTAACAGTCACTGGAGTTGTGTCATTCAATGAAGGAAGTGTTTTGGAATTATGGTTTTCCAAGAGATCTTTACGCAGCCGTAACTCAGCATTTTTTTTCACTTTTGAACCTGGAAATGAATTATGATAAGCAATATTTGACTTTGTTTAAAATCCAACATTGTCGAACATTGTTGGACCAGCCGCAATGTTAGAGGATACATGTTGGACTCGTTTGAATGGTGCTTATAAAGAAAGATAGAACTGAAGACTTAAAGCCAGACGGTCTGACTGTGACAGTGACAATAACACGAGAAAGCTTTGCATTGCGAGAAATTCAACTACCTGAAAAATACAAGCAAAACATCGACCTTTCGAGCGAAGGTACTTCATCGAACAGTTAACAGCCAACTGCAAGTTAGTAGCTAGCTTCCCGATGAAGGCAGAAGGGCCTTCGCTCAAAAAGTCGAAAGTTTGCTTGTATTTTCAGGTAGTTGAATTCCTCTCAATCTGAAAGTTTCTAGGGCTTAAATACAAACTGACTTTCTCGTCGATACAATTATCTCGCTTCAGAATAAAATTTTAAATTGTGTACTGGTGCAGAGTACCGGCACATTTAAAAGGAACGCTAATCGCTTCAGAGTAAAAGATTGTAAGTGAGCAATTAACCCCGTGATGAGACGCTAAATACCTTATGGCGATTCCAACCTATAACCAGTTAACACCTGTCGGACGTTTTCAAAACTTATTGCAGTTTTATTGATGCAAAAACAGTGTCATGTCTGAATTTTTTTAATGTGAAACAACAAGGGAAACTTTACTTTACCGTTTTGTTTGTATTAACCAAGGAAAATGTCTAGAATGTTTTGAATAATGGAGAAAATAATATTCTTTATTATTCAGTCATTTCATCAAAGATATACGCCCAACATGGGGTAAAATTGGATAACTGTGATCTTATCCTGCTTGATTGATAAAGACCTATAAATAGCGGTGCAGATAAGATGGAAAAAAGAATAGTAATTTTCGTTAAAAATGATTCGACTAGTTCTTTCTTGTAAAAGAGAAGTATAGCAAACTCTTGCTAAAAGTTTCCAGCTTAACTTGAGGAGGTAAAGGCCACTAGTCTGTCAAAGACATTTTTATCAACTGCAAAAAAACATCTATACATATAACGATGTTTTAAGTTGTATTATCTTTCATTTCAAAGATCATAAGTTTAAAGACGAAATGATATCTGCCACATCAAGTAACTCTAACCTCATGGTCGATAGTGTATCAACACTGAGTGTCTCTTACTGAGACTTTGTCCTATTTTCAATACGTGTTTAATATTTTGCATCAAAGACACCGTACTGATTACTAGCATGCTCTGCAGACATAACTGGGGAGTTTCACATGCATGCGAAGTGTTGTTGAAAAGTGCTTGGAAATAACATCTCAGTCTCGCTGGTCAATGCTGTTTTGTTTCTGTGACACTACTCTGTTACACTGTATGCTCAGTGACTTTTAAATTTGAGAATTGTGAATCTGTTATAGTTACATACACACTTTGTATATAGCGTTATTTATGCTAATTAGTCTATATATACTGAATCGGTCAAGTTAACCAGTGAAGTATTCGTGAATCTATTTGGATATACAACTGGAATTAAAGTTACTATCCCGTAGATGTATTTGCTCAGAAAACTTTTAAAACATCAGTATATTTGAAACAGTTATTACTCTATGGTTATTCGTTATAAGCGATAGGGTCACCTTGGCCTCAATGTAAACAGACTCTTGTGCACATAGTCATAGAATTATATGTTATCAGAAACAGGATTATAATACTTTAAAGGCTTAATTAAAACCATGTTAAAATTATTCATGCATCTCACACATATGATGATTGTTTGTCTTTAATCGGCTCTAAAGAGCTAGCCTATGGCTATGTTCAGCTGTTTTTGGTTGAAAAATTCCCACCGCTTGTATAAAATATGCATCTTAAGACTTAACTGATTGTATTTCAGTGCTCATAATTGTGCTATGACTTTATACATGTTCAAAATGTTTTGACCTGTTTTTCTTTTTCTATTTGATGCACATTGTTATATATTAAAACTATAACAGCAAATAAATTTAGTATCTTGAATGAATCATAATTTTTGTACCAAATTCGCCAAACCCCATTTCTGATAAGAAAACATATGGCCTGACACTCAGGCTAATTTCTGCAAGATTTAGTTTCGTACTGATTAGACTGCAATAATATATTCCATGATTCCAGCTTGTTCACCGCAAAAACTACAGGCCATTATTACATGCACCTGCAGAATATATTACATCGTTATCGAGAAGTTATTACAGAAACAAGCGAAACGTGCTTGCTCAATAATGAATATCTCGTTTGATAAACGCCTACTCCACATTAATGGAAATGAATTAGGGCAGCCAAAAACAACGCAAAACACTTTTTGCAGTTAAGCCTGTCAAAAACAAAGCGACAAGCATTTTTGTGCGAGCATAAATGACTAACATTTGGAACATTATAGCTTTACAGTGATGCTCATTTTGCACAGTTCATTGCATTCTTTTGTTTCGCGTTTTTACCAACTTTTGTTTTGCTAATCTTAATTTCAGGAGTGAATGCAAACTTTAAAGAGTCGTTAAAAAGTTGCGAAGTTTAATTACGATGTCGATGTATCAGGCATTAAATTATGTGGAAGATGGCAAGAGATTGGATTTCATATTTCAAAGATAAGCTTGCCTAGAGAATTGAAAGCAATTCCCCACTGATGCAAAAATTGAAAAATAAATTAAAGATTTATCTATGAGTAAAAGATCGACAAATGACGAGGCAAAATATGTGTAAAATATATTTATTTCGACAAATGTTTTTACTGATTCGGTGTTAAGTCTCTTTCAACTAGATACTATAACATTCGGAAGACATAAACCTCTTTATAAAGCGAAACTTTTAATATGTTTTTTTTTAGAACTGAGCTGCTGCAGAACCTGCAACACGCACTAACAAAAAATGGCAATTTAAGATGTTCCTCTCATTTTACATAAACGACTTATTTAGTTCAAAATGTGTAAACGATGGAACATTTAAACCGATATATCAGTGTGTCATCTATGTATTTCTTGACAAAAATTCCTCAAATAAGGCAACAATACATAATACCGTTATTTAAACAACGCCATACGTCTTCAATGTCGCAATTTTAATAATTTGGAAACAGCTGATGGGCTAATCACTCTCTCGGCCTATATTTGCGCTATGCCTACAAAAAGTCAATTTAATTCCACGTTTAACAAAATAACATATAAAGATCACGCTACAAACTATAAATTTCATATTGTACATGCACTATAAGAAACAGTCAGTTTCCCAGCGTGAAAATACGCGGTAATGAGCAAGTTGTCAAGCGGACAACTTCCGACGCGACAAAGGAAATTAATTTTTAAAATTGTTACACTGGCGACCCAGCATTTGAATTTCATATATCAAGTGTATCACTTGCAAAGCTGGTAAAAATAGTATTTTGTCAATATTTTCACAGCCACATATGAAAAGATATACAAATCTTGCATAGTTATTATAGGCAAGAAAAAATAATTCCTCACCTGTGCAGTTGAATAGCAGATGAGTAAAAATAAGAAGAGCAAATTGCCAAATAAGTGAGTCCCTCATTATGAGTTAGCAAAAATCGGTTTAAAAACTAAACACGCCTTTCTTTTCTTTCAAATTGAGCAAATCGTCTTTCTCTTGCACACAAACAGCAAAACCATTGTATATATAGTTAACACTCCTTCGTGCTTTTTATGAATACTGCCGGACTGACTTGAATGTATTCTTATATACCCCCTATAAGCATGAAATAACTAAGATAACTCACTTTTTAGACGAATCATAGCGTTGCTATGGTTTCCGCGTATTTTTTCGTCCTCTGATTGGTCGAAGCGATGTCGCAGTTTGTCGGAATAACGAGTCTAACAAGATTACATGAAAGATGATTTATTTAGGGAATTTGCTTTGTTAAATTTTATTTAAAATCCATGCATGTGGCCAAATCTCGTTGCTCTTAACGTTCGTTGAAGGAAAGCAACCGGAAAAATACAAAACTTCAACGTCCTTTATCGGTAATCCAATCTCTTCTGCGAATTTAAGAATGCTTATTTGTAACAACTGCAAAACTTTTCCTCGGTTTAAACTGCCCCTGTTCGCTAGCGGTATTATATGCTACTGTCAGATAATTTTGAATTGTGACGTGTGAGGGTATCCAGATTTATAAAACACAAAACACACTTATAGTTATATGTTTATTTCCAATTCGGTTCAAAAAAATTATACAAAAATATTATTGACATTAATTTTAGATTTAAAAACTTAGTAAAACTACAAGAAGCTGCTTTAAATTCATGATGATGTAATTATAATATTGATATGCATGTAAACTCTTTCAATTTTATAACGACTAAAAAATCATATTAAATCTACTATTTTACTCTCTATAAGAGCTTATAACAATTTCTATTATTCTATTTTATTTCTTATAATAAATTTTCATCTGGTTATCGATTGACGCCCGTGCAGCAGATGATGGTCAAGACAAGAGGCATCAGAGTGGGAACTGATTAATAGCTTTACAAATTACAATCGGCTAATTATTTTCTTAAAGCCTTGTTACCTTGTATTCTTCGCTTGCACCTGACGTCACTACATGTCATTACGACATTAGGCGCCATCTTGGTTGATTTTAAAGTTTTGTCCAACAGTTTACATCGAAATAGTTGAGTTAGTTTAATATTTTTGGTTTGTTTTGAAAACATCTTACTGTATTATGGATAGTTTATGATTTCTGGCACAATACGACAAAGAAAGAAGAATATATAGATTTTTAGATGTTTTGATTATCAACCAGGTCCAAGATGGCGTCGATTGCAAACGATCGAGCAATATGCAAATATTAAGATACAGTCTAATTTTCTTTCTTATTAATTGGATCGAAAACTTTGGTTACTCCAATTTCCCAGCTAGCACCGTTGTTTTTCATGTAAAACTTTATTTTAATAATCTTGTTATTATTTTTTTTAGTGCAAATAAATTCTATTCTATTCTATATGCAAATATTGCAGAGATACGGTCTTATAGTTTCGTGCTCTTATATAGTGTGAACATTTCCAAAGTTGACCACCATCTACTGTACGAAAAATTAACAGACACTCACGTTAAAAAAAATACAAAAAAAAGGCAATCAAGACAGTGTAGATTAAAACAAAGATTATCAGAAAAACTCTGTCGAGAACTTTCGCGAATGTTTTCCAATTCTTTGCAACTTCTTCATCTTCATGTTTGGAGCTTAATTCCTTAGTGAAAGGCCGTATTACTTCACGCAAAGCAGCTTCGAAACTTTTTATTAATTTTTGGCTCATGTTCTCCAAAGCAATATCATCTGTGTTTGATTCTTCGCTCTCATTATCCAGGTGGTATGAAATCGTCTCAAAACGCAAAATGTCTTCTTCACTAAATTTGACGCGGACAGATCTTGCCATACCATGAAATATCTTCCACATAATTCTCGACATGCGGCGGGTCCGGCCATAGCATTTAATACTCAAACATGTTGCACACAAACATAGCACGATTAAAATATTATTGCCAGTAAGGTATATCCCGAGAGCCGGAATACCTTCGGAGGTTTCCGGTAACATAAAGAATACAATTAATATGTAGACGGAATTTGCAACCAGAATACCGTTCACTAATGACATTCGTTCACCGTTATCTGTCGGCAGAATGAAACTAAGTAAGGATAACACCGAGATTAGTGCAGAAAGGAGGGCTATGTACACGCAATAATACAATGGACGGCGTTTTATTTTCAAAGTTAAGGTAACATCTGGATACGGCAACTTATTTGGACCGTAGTACTTCAATAAGTTATTGCGCAAAAGCGCACTTTCGACTTCCCATTCCCCACTTTCGATAAAATAACTCTTGTCCGCATGCCGTTCGATGTAGGTCATGTTAATTTTATGCCCCGAATACGTCCAAGAGCCAATGGAAATATGGCATTTTTGTTCGTCGAACGGAAACCGGAATACCTCGATCTTGTTGTTGGAACGTTCCACGTGCAATCACCATTTTTGTTGATGATTAGTTTTGTCGCTAAACGTTCGTAGAGGATTTCTTCAAGACTTGCTCTGAAATAATGAATTTAAACTATTATATGAAAACGAATACCTACGAAAATTAGGAAAGTCTTTTCTTAGTTATTCTGCCATTGAGATAAAATGTGAATCTCCGATTGTTTCCTAGGCTGACAGAACAAGAAACAGGAAGACAGAACTCATTCATTAAACAATGTAACATCAGGCACCCAGAAATGTTTATGATTAGCATGGACACGTTCAATCCCTCCGTACTCCGCAGGATCCCACGTTAAGAACGGATTATTCCAATCAAATCCGAGCCAAACTGTTAGACGAACTACTTGATTTTTCATATCTTGTATCAAGGAAAATGAAAGAATTGGTAAGTAATTTGAGTCAACTGTTCACAACTGAGAGGCGCAATAAAGTAAACTACGTCTTTTAATTTTATTTACCTGCATCCATTATAGTCTCCTCGCAGCCGCTCTTTGTATCGAGGTTTCTCTCCACGAGCGGCTGCTCACTCGAGCACAACATTTCATTCCCTTTGTCTTACGTTAGCCAATCAGATTTAGCGACATAAATATCTAAATTAATTTAGCGACATAAGGGACAGACGTGGGGGGGGGGAGCAAAACCAAAAAATATATATTCCCAGAAAAAAATTAGGAAAAACAAAATTTTCCCAGGCATAGTGCAAAAAAAATTCCTAGCTTGGAAGATAAGCCTACAAATTTCAATTAAAAAATATTTCCAGCCATCAAGTGAGAAAAAAAATCTTCCATAGGTGTACAAAAAAAATATATTGCCTCTTAGAAAATCCCTTTTCTTAGAAAATCACTTTTCTAATGGTCCGTCCCTAAATATCTTAATAAGTCCAAGGTCATATGTTTCCGAAATTTAAAAGCATTACTGTGATTGGTTGTTTTCAGGAAAGGAATGTTGTGCTCGAGTGAGCAGCCGCTCGTCAGTGGCGTGCTGGCAGGGGGGGGGCTGGGGGGCCACGGCCCCCCCAGCTGGCAATTCTTGGGGGGCGCAAAAATGAAAAGGGGGCGCCGTCCCGTGCGGAATTTTGAAAGTGGGTGGGAAAAACGCATTTGAAAAAATATAGTTACTTCCGTCAAGAAGTTTATATTTATATAGGCTTATCAACAGATCGAGACTAAGAGCATAGACGACAAAGTGATATATTAAATTACAGACTCTAACCGAATTTGCTAATTTGCTACTTCACGGCTCACACAAAATCGTTCATATAGAAACATGATCAGTGATCACACACAATGTCTCATTACCGGAATATTGGTCAGGTTTCGAAGCGATCACGGGAATTATGCCCTTTTTTGCTGGTATTATGCTCTTATATTATGAAGGTATTATGCTTCACGAATCGCGAGAGCGGCGCAAATTAGATAGTTTTGATAATGTAAGTTGTGTACGGAATTTAGTTGTTTGTGCAAGAAACATCATGACTCATGAGTAATGTAAGTGATAAGATAATGCTGAAACGCGCCCTTTTGGCAGTCAAGCAAGGTAACCTTAAAGTGCATGTGCGTGGGATACGTGTGTTATTGTATAAAAGAGCTGTATGTTGTAAATGTATTCAGATCACCAGATCAGTAGAGAATAGAATTGGGATTAGATTAATCGCTGGAACTGAGTTAGCATTGCCCAATTTAAGTACTACTACTAAATTCTAATCAAATTGCAAATTTCAACACTTTATAATGCCGTTTCCTGACCATCAGATTTCTGTCAAACCTTCCCCCCAAAGTCCAGGAAATGGCATTTCAGAGACCCTAAATTCAAAAATTTTCCGAGGGGGCATGCCCCCGGACCCCCCTGGAGAAACCTCGCACCTGCGGCGCTCAGCTCGTGCCTTCGACATTCGTTTATCAAGCGTTACAATATAGGGGCGCATATTAGTTGAAAGCCCATTGGCCCCCCCAGAAAATTAGTACCCAGCACGCCACTGCCGCTCGTGGGGAGAAACCTCAACTCAAAGAGCGGCGTGCGAGGGAAACTACATCCATTACTGCATGTCTGTATATAATGAAAAGAATTAATATTATTTTCTTGTTACTCTAATAATTGCAGGTTTTCCTCCATCTAACGCCACATATTGAATGAAATTCTTACTCCAGCTATATGGAGGTCAGTGAACTTACCACATCCGCAATTTGATGTAAAGTGATTCTAACTTTAACTTGCATTGGTGTATTGAAGTCGGGAGCTGGAATAATTTCCTTCACTATTTCTGAATCATTTGTAAGATATTCCACCAAACGACGTTTTGCATTGAAATAATCTCTTGTTGTTCCTAAAATGAAAGAGATCAGGGTTCATGTCAATGGGACCTTTGCATAACACTTGAGTAACATAGCACCATCTTGTCAGGATCCAGTGATCAGAATGATCCATTGTCTTTTCATTCCTCATTGTTCCATTCCTCAGTATATAAAATACTGCATTATTTCATTTGAATACAAGAAAACTTTGTGTTGTCTGTTTTGTGACTATGAGCCTCCATCGAATACAAAAACTCCCAATTTCAAAATTAACAAGAATGACTTTATTTAAATTTCACAACAACAGTAATTAGCATCAATGATTTAATAATGGTGTACCCACTACGCTTCTCGGTCACCTCAAGGCATCGTCTGTTCACCCGCCGTTGAGATATATAGCCATCCATTCCTCCTGCAACAATTGAGCTAAATCAGCTATGAGCCAGATGCTGTATTCTTCGAACTGACGATAGACAGATCGCTTTTGCCGGTCCCAAAGATGCTCAATTGGGTTGAGATCTGGCGAGTGGTTACACCCATTATTAAATCATTGATGAAACAATTTACTGTTGTAAATTTTGAAATTGGGCATTTTTGTATTCAGTGGAGGCTAAGTTTAGAGCATGAATGACCCCATTCTTCAAACAGCATTAAGAAAACTACCATAGGTCTAATTCGTGTTGAGGTGTGTTATCAGGTAATCATTTATGTAGAACTTATGATGATATATTTAGGGGGGGGACTTTCTTTTTCTGCGATGTTTATGTTCCAAAGTCCCCATTTCCAGCCTGACATGTGCAACCATCTCTCTATATAGGTTCACTCTCCTTAGGTTACTGATCATATGCCGGCTTACTTTATTACTGTCTGGAAATCACATCTCAACTGCTCGTCATGTTGGCGGTGTGACCGATGAAGACGATCATTTGTATGCCGTATGGAAATCAGTTTTTACAGACTATAAATAATTATACCGCCATTACATCGGGCCATTCCATTTAATATACACACCCCCCTATGTACGAGGCCAATAAATTTTGAACCCCTAAGAAGAAAAGATCAAAGTGCCGACACAAACACCCCCCCAGAAATTAAGAAATTTTTGCCTTACCCCTCAGAAAAAACGCAAAGATCAAAGGATGCCGATGCACACATCCCCTCAGAAACGCCTTTTTCAACCCCCCTCGGAAATTCTCGTCCATAGGGGGGGGTGTATATTAAATGGAATGGCCCATCAGTAAACTTGACTTAATTGTTCTCGAGTAAAAGTAATTCCCTCATGTCGTTTGAAACTAGAGTCACTACTCACAGTTTTTGAAGGACAATGTACAAAAAAGTTGTAAATAGATATGCTTCACTAAAAGTATAAAAGGGTGAAAGGGTGTTCTACAGTTTGGGAGATTCTATAGTTTGGGGTTTTTGTACCGTTATTCGTTAAATTTCTTACTACATATGTTATATTCATGTAAATATTTTATTATACACGCCCCTTGTTGAAATGGCAGCCAAGGTTGACAAAGGTTAGCGTCAATTTAAATAAAGTTTCTATCTATCTATCAATCTACTTACAAACGCCCATGAAAACATAAGCTCCTAGCTGGCGTGAGGTAAATACCAAGTGAAACATAAACTAGAAATGAAACCGAAAATGAAACCGAAAATGAAACCGACTTAAACTATAAAGTCGCGATCAAACGAGGATGAAAGTTGATGAGAGTGCCAGTCACGCATTGTTACGGGGGACATTATAAGCTCTGGTAACAAAAATCAAGGTTTGATAAGTGTTCCAACTATGTTTTAACTTAAATAAAATACATGCAGATAGTTTGGGAAAGCGGTAAGAACAGCTAACCGCCCGGCCAAGGTCGCGTGACTCCCAACTCTCATGCACTCTCATCCTCGTCTCATCGATCCGGGCTTAAAAATGAAAGCGATAATGAAACTATATTGCAGAACTATAATTACTAGTATTTTTCTGTGAATATTTAGCCAGCAATACGCACAGCGTACAAAGTCATAGACATGCAAAGACCACTTTGCATTCAATCTAGTTATAGTGTAGACAATTGGGCACGACCCATATTTACTCGGTGCACCCGATCACCACATGCACTGGTCAATATAAAATTGCCAGTAATAAACGGTGCCTGTGGTTAATAAAATTCCTTAAAAAACTCATTAATAATTCATAAAGAAAATACAAAAGAAATCACTGACGTATCGGTGGTTATATATGTGATAAAGCACTCCTGCTCGTGTTTTAAATAGTATCGTTAAACAATTGCTAAACCACAACCTTGCCCTTGGCTAAAGAATCGGCATGTGCATGAATATATAGTAAAATGAATAGTACAATCTTCTTTCTTACCTGAAACTAGACTGGAATTCTGACACAAACATAGAATGTAGAACCATAGGAATAACAGACGATGAAAAGAGTTACACATTGCCATTCTAGTTGACGTGTACCAACAGTCGAAGAAATCTAGAAGACAGTACAAGACAAATGATTTTCAGTGAGCCTCAACTATCCCATTTCACTGGGTCTTGTTACGTCATGCTATTTCATTGGTTATTTGGTTGGCTTTGAAGTTTAGGTCATATATTGAATTTCAAGTTGATCTGTTTTTCTTGGATTTATATGTTCCTGGAATTATCGGCTGACCGTGCATGGTTTTGAGAGAGAATCAAATTTCTGGAGTGAAGTTGTGTGCAAACGATAGAAAGTGGTGTTTCTAAGTTCAAAGACCTACAAGATAGAAGTTTATCAGCATGAAAATGATTTATGAATCATCATTTATGAATATTTTGTTGTCAAACGAACAGCTCCCAACGAGACAGAAAAACAAATTTTAAAACTGCTACACAGCCGACCTAACATTTGAATTTCACATAATCTTTACACTGCATCATTTTCACAAAAATGGTAAAAAATTGTTTTGTTAATATTTTAACAACCAGATATAAAAAGTCTTACTTTATAGTTATTATACAAGTTATACAAGAAAAAATAAATCCTCACCTGTGGCTGTGCAGTTGAATAGCAGATGAGCAAAAACAAAAAGAGCAAATGGCCAAATTAAATAAGCGAGTCCCTCATTATCAGTCAGCAAAAATTGTTTTAAATGCTAAACACGGTTTTTCTTTCTTTCAAATTGAGCAAATCGTCTTTCACCTGCACAAGAAACCATTATTCAGTTGACAACATCTTCGCGCCGTTTATGAATTACTACCAGGCTGATTTTTTGGCGAATTATATATAGCGTGACATGGTTTCCGCATATTTTTTGTCCTCTGATTGGTCGAAGCGATTCACAGATTATCGGAATAACGTGTAACTAGATTACATGAAAGATGGTTTATTTAGGAAATTTGTTTTGTTAAATTTTATTTAAAATCTATGCATGTGGTCAAATCTCGTTGCTCTTTCACATTCGCTGAAGGAAAGCGAAGTATTTGTGTCGTGTAATCCAATATTTTCGTGTGAATTTAATTAAGAATGCTTATTTCACGACAAGCAAAACTTTTCTGACAAAACTTCTGTTGACAAAACTGACGTTTCGAGCGAAGGCGTCTGGAAGTTAATAGCGAAGTTGTCTTTGTATTTTTCAGGGAATTACATTCCTATGAGCCCAAGTTTTATTATTGCCACGACTTACACTGACCGTTCAAAACTTTTCTGCAGAGCCTCGGTTTGAACTGCCCTTGTTCGATAGCGGTATTCTATACTACCGCCAGACAGTTTTACCTTGTCATGCACTTGTGAGGTTACCAGATTAATAAAACAACGATATAGTTATATTATTCACAAAAATATATTATTGACATTAATTTTAGATTTAAAAACTAAATATAGGACTACAACTATGGTTACATGAAGCTGCTTTAAAACTTTGAAATATTTGATATGCAAACTCGTTCAATTTTATAAGCGACAAAAAATTTATATAAAATCTACTATTTTACTCCCTACAAAAGGTATAGATTTTCATAGATTTCATATGGTATAGATTTATGCCGAAATATTGGCAAGTTTCACTAAGGTGCTATCATGCAGCAGATGTTGGTCAAAAGGCAGTTATCAGAGTGAAAAATAATAGCTTTATAATCGGCTAATTCGTTTCTCAAAGTCTTGTATTTAATGGAAAATCAGTGGAATTGGAGTTGACCAACAGCTGCTCTGTACACCAACAGACACTCACACTGTATAAAACCACACACCCAAGCCAATGTAGGTTAGAAAAAAGATGATGAGGAAAACTGTGTCGAGAACTTTCGATGCTGTTTTCCATTGCTTTGCAAACTGTTCTTTTTTCGAACTCTTCATATATTCTGTGTTTGATTCTTCGCTTTTTGGGCGAGGCGTAGGCCCCTCTTCTTGCTCGCTTGTCGTCGCTTCATTAATCTCGCCGAGTAAAAATGCCTCGCCAGTTTTTTCTCTTTTAATCCTAATATTTCCTGTGTTTGATTCTTCGCTTTTTGCTTCTTCTTGTGCTGTTGTGCATCTCTTATTATTCACGCCGTATGGAATTGCCTCCTTACTCATTTCTTCTTGAAATATGCAATTTGCAAAGTCTTTTTTTAAATTTGCAATATATTGAAAAAACTTCCACAACCCTGTCCGCATTGGGCAAGTCAGGTCATGGCATTTTAAACTCACACATGTTGCACACAAACATAGCACGATTGTAATAATATTGCCGAGAAGGTATATCCCAAGAATCGGAATAGCATCGGAGGTTTCCGGTAACACAGATGATACCATTAACATGTAGACGGAATTTGCAACCAGAATACCGTTCAACAACGATATTCGTTCACCATTTTCTGACGGCAGAATGAAACTAAGTGGGGCTAACAGCGAGATTACTGCAGAAGGGACGACTATGTACACGCGATAATACAATGAACGACGTTTTATTTTCAAAGTTAAGGTAACATCTGGAAACGGCAAGTTATTTGGACCATAGTACTTCACTCTGTTGTGCAAAAGCACGCTTTCGACCTCCCATTGCCCGTTTTTGATAAAATGACTCATGTCCGCATGCCGTTCGAAGTAAGTCATGTTAATTTTACGCCCCGAATACGTCCAAGAGCCAATGGAAACATGGCATTCTTGCTCGTCGAAGGGAAACCGGGCTACATTGATCTTGCATCGACTTAAAAATGTTGTTGGAACATTCCACGTGCAATCACCGTTTTTGTTGATGATTAGTTTTGTCGCTAAACGTTCGTAGAGGATTTCTTCAAGACTTGCTCTGAAATAATGAATTTAAACTATTATATGAAAAAGAATGCCTACGAAAACTAGGAAAGTCTTTTCTTAGGTATTCTGCCATTGACATAAAATGTGAATCTCCAGTTTTTTCCTAGGCTGACAGAGGAAGAGACACAACACAGGGGGTCCAACTAACAGCTGTGTTATGAATAAAACATATTAATTAAACGTAATATGAATAAAACATCATAACGTAATATTGCACTTACTTGTATAAATCATAAGAGCTTGCATTTTAATACAGTGAATAGCTTCAAAAACTTGCTTCGTTCCAAAGACTTCAAATATGGCGAATAAATTGACAAAACGATAATATTACATGACGTTCCAACGAAAATAACAGAAAGGATTGCGGGCGCGTTACCCTCGCCTTCCGCTCGCGCCCGCAAATATTTACAAGAGAGAAAAAGAAGAGAAATTGTTCTCCTTTCTGTTATTTTCGTTGGAACGTCATGTAATATTATCGTTTTGTCAATTTATTCGCCATATTTGAAGTCTTTGGAACGAAGCAAGTTTTTGAAGCTATTCACTGT